CTGCAATATCAGAAATACAATGCAATAACATTTCAGAATCTTATCAAACCAGCACATACCAACCAGCATGGCATGATACACCTTAGTACAACAAAAGAGAAACTAAAAGGTTGTTTGATATATGAATGTCGTGATTGGTACACCTATTACCAATATGAACAACACAACAAGAAATGGTTCATAAAATTTTGCCCGGGTTGTAGATATATTATATACCAATACAATCAGATTTGGAAGGCTATACTTGCAATATGATCTCATTTTTTTAAGAGATATGTACATAGAATCTTACTTAAGGGAGAACACTTGACATTTAAAAAATAAGTATTATAGGGGGAAAAATTTTTCACATGACCAATCTACTACTCAATCATAATCTCCGGATCACCAAGAGTAAAGAAAAAATATACAAACAGTTCAAGTAAAATAATAGGCTTTAAAATAAAACTAGAAAAAAAATTATGTTTTGACAAAAAAACCAAAACAGGAAGATGATATGCTTTCAATAGGAAAAAAATGACAAGTTAACAATCTAAAAGACAAAAATAATAGTGTGCAATTCTCTGAAGTAGAAGATAGAAGATAGAAGATTGATATCAGAACTATAAAAAAATAATAATATATAGGAAAAGAAAACAAAAGAAGAAAACTACCATTCTCTACTGCTACATCTTCTTCTAGTTCAGTATACCATTAGAACTTGGCAGCAAACTATAGGGAGACAGCGGATTCATTCTCTGCCTACAGAGGCAGGATATGGAGACATTAGGTAAATAGTTCTACTAAATTGAAATTACATTACAAGTGACTTCTCAATCTGCTTTAGAGGGTATTACCAGATTATTACAGTACTTAAAGATGGTCAAATGCTAACAGTGTGAATGTCAGGTCAAAATGTGCCAATGAGAAAGGGAATCAACCATTCTGTGTGACAAGCTCAAAGGATGAGGTGCTCAAAACTCATGGTTTGAAATACCAATTGGACCAGTACATACTAACTGATATTTACTAGTCTGACCAAGTTGCCAATAAATAAATGCAGCTCACTAATGTTTGGAATACTGCTCTTACCTTATTCAGTGATGCTAGGAGAATAGGTCAAGATACCAACCAAAATCTAGGTACTGTATCAGTCTTAACAGACTTTGAAACTGGTATTGAACCAACATTTAGAACGTTGCTCAGAATAATGATAACTTGCAAGTTACTGTACCAAAGATAAATTAGAATGGTAATTAATAATGTATAGATCAACTAGTCTATGGTTGAGAGTTTATTGAGACTCCTAGTCACGGACCTTGTTGAATAAAATCTAGGGTGGCAATTGCTTAATAATTAATCTTGGCGCTGATGCAGTCATCTCATTAAGCATGACAAAAGATTATGAGAAGTTGAGAACAAGCAATATCATAAAATAATATACATGTAATTAGTGATTCAAGACTTGTACAGGTTTTAGCAACTCTTATAAAGCTAACAGATTAATTTCATCAAAGTTTGCAATTTTAATGGATTATAAGCATCCAAAATCCAAACCACATTGCTTCTAAGAGGGTAGATGCACCATAGAAAGCTTTTGATAACATCATGACTCAAAAGAACTGAGAATGGAAGTTTTTCTTTCGCTTCCTCAGGAAATACATGGTCATTGCCACTTGCCTGAATACTATCCTTTCCCATCCAACAGGTTAATAAGTAGTCCTCTTTCTTCTCACCAGAACGATATGTATAAAGCACAATATAACAATCTCCACTGTAAAATCTACCAATCTCTTCCCTTGGAAGTGGGTTCTTGGCACTACCATTAATGCGCCAAACCTGAAAGTGATTCCAGAAATTAGGATCCTAAAGAAAAAAGAATTAACTAGCTTCATGTGCAGTTATCTACAGGCTAAAGAAAATTAAAGAAACCTCAAGTTTTCCACCGCCTTCAAGCAAAGGAGGAATTTCCTCATTTACCGGACAGCCTTTTAAGATTCCCTTAAAATCAACGCCTTGTTGTTTTAGCAAAGCTACCAAGACAGCAAGCAAATAAGACAAATTAAAACAATTAACAAATACACAAAAAGTTGGTTCCTCTACAGAATCTTCTACTAGTACCTGCAACTTTTCCTTGTCCCTCCTCTCCAGTAGAATTTCCCATTCCTGTCACAGTACCAGCTGACCACGATTCAAATTTTGACTTGAATGAATGTGTTTCATAACCCTGAATAACTTGAGTGACGCGTGTTGTTTTTGGTCTGTTTTGACTGATGATGAAATCCTAAATTTTTTGTCATTAAGAACGCCATTAACGATGAAGTGAGAAAAAAAATAGAGTAAAGAAAAGAAATACCCTACCTCAGCAGCTTTGCTGGCAGCTTTTCTCTCTTCAACTTGCGTCACTCGGCCAACCCAAATGATAACCTCAGCCCCACAGTCCAGTAAATAGCACTTATTGTTCTCCAACATTGCTTTTGAAAGGTTGTTTTCTTCCAACTTCAACTGACCATCATTAATACTACAAAAGTTCTTGTATGTTACAATCAGTCAACTCCTTAATTGTTGTATAACTTTTAGCATGGATGAGAATCAACATGCATGGTGGTATGGCATCAATAAAAATCTAAAGACCAACTAGGCTAATGCATTTTTTCCTACTATTAATTATCATATAGAAGAAATAAGCCATCAACAACAACATTCAACGTATAATGTATCGATATGTCGATAGTGTTAGGATCGTAAAGGCACTAAGAGGAGGGGGAGGGGTGCGGGGGTGAATTAGTGCTTTTAAAAAAATTTCGGTTTGAAATTTCAATTAATAAATTTGTATCGAAAATGTGATTAACAAAAGGTGCGAGTAAGGATTGCTTATTAAATAAATCAATATGCAGTAGTAAATCAAGACAAAAAAAATAATGCAAACTAGATTTATAGTGGTTCGATCGTCCTGACCTACGTCCACTCCCGATTTATCTTCCTTCGAGGCTATCGGCTTTCACGACCGATCTTCTTTCAATGGGCGAAAATTAACTACCCTTGTTATAACTCTTTCTCATTTTTACAGGTTTAGGAGAGAACTCTTACACCCTTCTTTTACAAAAGACCTCTCACCTCCCTTAGAATAACTTTTAGACTCAAGAAGGAAGAGGCTCAACACTTTTTAAGAGTTTACAACACTTCAAAATCACAAGCATTTCATACTTTGTCAAGCAAGCATTAGAGAAGTATTTATAGGCCCCAAATGACTTCAAAAATGAAATCAAAAATTCAAATCCTCGGGTTTTCAGGGTACTGGCGAGTACCATCGCCTGCACTGGGCGGCACCACCGCCTGACACAGTCTGGGAGACTGTGTTCTGGTGATACCATCGCCAGTCTAGGCGGTACTACAGCTTGATACCGGGCGGTACCACCATCGAGTTTTTCAAAAAAGTACAATTTGTACTTTCCAGCTCATAGGCAATACCAATGACTAGCCTGGTGGTGCCAACACCTGGCCCAACCTCAAGTCACTGAATTGGCCTTCCAATAGACCCAATTCAACCCTGATTTAGGCCCAATGAGCTCCTAATTAAGTTAGCATGGTTACACCCAAAACCAACTTAATTATACTCTAAACTATTTCGATCAAAACAACGATTACAATCATGAAGCCTACGTTGTTCGACATGTCATTAGTTCATCCGGCACTTCGTCCAAACTTTCTACACGTCGTCCTTTCCTTCGGTATATTGTCCGATCCTTCGGCATGTTGACCTCCCACAACATCTAATCTTTTTGGCGCAATATTCGATCCTTCTGGCCCAATGCCCGATCTATGACATGATGCACTTCGGCCCAACATATGATTCTCCTACTTCAGTTATTTGCATTTCCATGATCAAAGTTTGTCCTGCGTCACTTTTCTCAAACGCTCATTAGTTCATAAACTCATCAATTGATTTCATCATCAAAATTCAAGATTTAACAATCTCGTCCTTTTTTATGATGACAACCAATTGATGACGGAGTTTTAACTAAACTCCCTCTGTCCATATATCATATTGAAATAAACTCGAATTTAAAAAATGATAACCCTTTAATGCTAGTCTTGGAATTCAAGTCGAAACAATTTTAATCATAGTGACTTTCTTTGTAAAAGTCATATGCAATACATCATAGTACACATCATATGCATAGTTAAAAAATTATTTCATGTATCATAATATCAAATCATGAGTTAAGATATCATTACATAATTCAAAATCATCAAGGTACATCATAATTTCAAAACATAAGTTAAGATATCATTGCATACATAATTTCATATCATCAAAATTTCAAATCATCAAAGAGTACAGTCAACTTCTCACCTTTTGTCATCAACAAAAAGGAGAAATGTGCAAGTTTTTACTTCTCTTTAAAATATGCAAGCTAGCAAGTTTTTACTTCTTTTTAAGATGTGTAAGTTAGCAAATTTTTGCTTCTCTTTGAAACGTGTAAGCTACTACTTCTCTCTCCCCCTTTGTCATTATCAAAAAGAAGGAAAGAATACAATGGTGCAATTTTTCTCCCTTTACATCAATGTTCCAATCATAACATAAAAGATATTAAGATCAAAGATAAATTTAAATCATGAGAGATCAATCAAGTCATAAATAGCGAGAAAGCAAAATAATGACTTGGTACAGTGAGCTTACCACACAAGACAATTCATACCAAACCAAAGCAAGCAAAATTGTTTGCCCAGTTTGCATTTCAATTGGTCATTGGACCAGTAAATACCATCTTGTACCAACCAATATGAGCAGTATTTTGATCCATTGATCACATAACGAGCAATATTAAGATATATGGAAACTAGAGACAAACTTGTATAACAGAATTGATGCTAGCTTTTGGTAGAAAAATCATACATGCAATGTTGTAAGAGTAAAAAAAGTACCCATAAAGCTTTGCAGGACTGGTTTTTAGAACAGTGTCATCTTCACTGACCACCTTTTTGCCAATTGGTGCAAAGCCACCAAAAAGGACCCAGAATTCACCAGAATCTGAGTCAGCTTGTAATTTTCCGTCATCTTATACAATAAAAAATCTGTTAATAAGAAGATACAATATGCATACATGTACAGAATATCTTCTAGAAGAAGTAGATTCTCACCAATGATCGCAATGTCACAAGTCCCTTCATGGTACTTGTCCTTCAAATATTGTATAACTTCTAAAGCTTTAGCTCTTTCTTGGATATTTGTGTTAGCACCATTGAACTGATATATCTTCTTTTCAGTATCCAAGATAAACACATCATCATGATTTAGTGATGACCGGGCAAATGGAACCTTCAAATGAAATTCCAGGAATTACCACATGCATGCAATGCAAATTTGAACATCAAAAGTCACGCAATAGTTCATGGAAAAAATATAGCACCTGCTTCATTCTGACAACCCGTTTTCCTCTACAAGTGTAAAGTCGTGTTTCAAACTTTTCCTCCTCAGGCTTCTTGAATCCAGAGGCAAATCCTCCTTCCAAAGGAATAATGCATGGTTTGAAGTATGACAAGAACTTGTCAGACTCGAAGCCTTGGGGTTCCCTGTGTTGAACTGCACGACCTCCAAGAACTGCATCAAGTTCAACAGTCTTGATTGCTGCAGTCCCAGCTTCATCCTGTGATCATTTATAAGGAAAATAAGTAATTTGAAGTTTGAACATGTATCTTATTGCTTGGCCCTCAAAATAAAAACACAAATCTTTTTACAGTATCATTGAGCATAATTAGCATACTTGGCTTGACTCTTTTCCAATCCAGAAGTGAATGTCATAAAGGTAGGTGCCACCTTTGCCAGTTGTCTGAAACAAGCAACTCACCACATAAAAATATGAAGCAGATAGCAGCAATCAAGGTGTAGAGTCATCATGCACATTTGTAGTTAGCCATTATGGATGATTCTTGAGAGATCAGAGCTAAAACAACTTCACTTCTGAAATACACCAAGTTTTCATTGTCGAGCAACATTTCAATTTATTTAAAAGATTACATTTTTATACACCATGTGAAGACATCTAATGCAGTTTTAAAAAGAGAGCTAAAATATCAAATAATTCCACGCTTCTGATTTAGCTTGAAAAATTGCCAAACAAAGTTGACGAGATGATGAATTAAACATAACAAAGAGAACAACTATTGACAAGACCTGATAGACCTACTCGCACATTAATTTGGAAAGGACAGGTCTCAACCAAATGGTTCTAAATGCTCAAGTTGTTAGTAGTAAGCCCAACTAGTCATAGTAACCACAAGAAGAACCAACATCACTGAACCATTAGGGTGTTACAATCTTCCCAACTCAAGATATAATAACCTTGTCAATGCCCAACAAATTCATATCTAACACAGAATTCATTAGTTTTCAAAATATACCATCTCGTAGCACAAAATAAGTCATCTCAATACATGGTGACCCACATGAAAAGGCTCAAGGAGTTGTGATACTAATGATCCAACAAACTATACCGACAATTACATAATCATACTTAATTTTAAATCCTTTTTTCCAGATGAACAATGCAATATGAGAAATAGGTCACATCCTTGTGACTGTCTCATAGTTAATCACCTTCACAATTGATAATGCATCCCAATTAATGGTCACAAAATAACCTTACAACCAAGAACCAGCATGTATCTCTTCAAAGATCATTATGATTAATTAAAGACTTCATTTTCCACCAAGAAATAACAACAATCCATCATCATATCCCAAACTAGTGAACTAACTTCCCGTCAGCATCACACATAGTTGAAGGCCATACGATCCTAAATCAGGGTTCCCAACCATCATAAGGGCCCAAATTGGTGCACCCTTCTACAGATTGGTGCACCCTGCTCCTAGTCAATTCAAAAAATTCAGCTCAAAAAAACCTATATATATTGATATGAGCTTGGTCCTGGTTGGTAAACAGTATCTCAGTCAAAGAAGGATTCCTATGGATTAGCACAAGGGAGGACTCTTTAGCTTTGAAAAGTAGTAGACAACTCAATCCCAGTTGGAATAAGAGTGGAGCAATCCTTCCTCAAACTGTTACAGTCGAGTCAGGCAAGGAGAACACTGATCAAAGCTTTTCACTCAAACCTAGTGGTAGTAGATTTAGACTTTATCTTTCTATTCTTATTGTATATAATTTCATCAATTTTCTTTGTAGCTATATTAGAATGTAGAGTCCTGATTTGAGTTTATTCGGTGTATGAATCAAATATGATTATAAAATAGGTTAGACAAATCCAACCATGAGCCATATTTGAAGAGTCCCAGAGGACTCTATTTTTAATGTTGGTTGATGACAAAGTTTTCTCCCATACAACCTCTTAGTGAACATATATCAGAGGACGTAAACCAAGAGATCATGCTTGGATGTTATTTTCTCTTTTATGCAATAAAGTTAATTTAGTTTGATGGTGATCTCTGTTTCTTCCTTCTTTTTCTTCATTCTCCCCTTGGAGGCATATTCTCCTCTTTAAATTGGATAATTCCCAGATAGGAGGGTCATTTCCTATCAAAATCATGCCAATAAACCTATCCAAACAAAAAAAAAGATAACAGAATTTTTTTGTTCGGTTGAAACTTAAAAATTTCTTTTTGAGATAAAATAATTTCCAAGTTAACAAATTAAAAAAAATTACTTAACAGTGCTCTATATTAAAAAACTATTTACAAATGTAATTAAAATATTAACACCGAATTGACTCTATTTTACGAACTAAAAATAATGATCTATGATAATATAAATTCTTTAGTTGAAAAGTTCAAATTATCAGTCAGAAAATACGAGTGAATTTTGTATAAGTTCTAGAAACCATAACTTGTACATGTGAAGAACAAAGCAACAGTTCTCAGGCAAAGAAAGAAAAATAATGAGAAGATAACAAAAATTACCTGTAAAATTATGTATGAATCTCCAGAGTAGAATTTACCATAATCAGACTTTGGTATAGGCACTGGTTGAAAGTTCTCAATACGCCATATTTCTGTTCCTCTATGTGGTGTTAAGTAAATGCTCACATTAAAAAAACAAAAGATACTACAAAGAAAAACAATTTGAAGAGTAAAAGAACAGCTAAAAAATTTGTGCAACCAATAGTGACAATAACTTGCCCACATGGTGCATTTTATAACATTTCTTATAAGGATACACTTTGTGTCCAACTCCCTGAAACGCAGGATCAGCATATTTTGTAGAACTAGACATTGTATGCTGAAAGATTTTATACTACGACAATGGAACAAGATGTCTTCACAATTTCAGAATGTGCTCAGAACACTGAATAATTGAAAAAAGCTGCACTCAGCAGAAGAAAATAACATAATCAATAATCATCTAGAACTAATATGTACTGTGGCCAACTCATCTACAGGTTTTTCCATAAAAATTATACAACAGGTTGCTGGTCAACACAAGTCAGCTGTGCAGTAAGCGAATCATTAAACCACCAAATTATATAAAATAGCATTTCTATAACTTTTCTCAAGCAGGACGGATAAATGTACATGTGGGAACTAGCAAGCTGATGACTGGACACTTAGCTGGAAGATGCCACGTAAAACACACCAAAAAGAACAGTATCAGTGAAATTCATGTTATCTGAAGTAATTATTGCTCACAACAGCAGATGGATAGTCCAGAGAAGGAAAGGCAGGGTGTGCAATACTCTAGAGGAACTATAGCTTGGATTCATATAGATTACTCAAGGGGGAAAGCTAGGTACTGTTCCACAGATTTGTTTTAAAATTTCTAAACTTCAAAAGTCTTTGGATTCTGAGATTATTTTGCTTAGGTAGTCATTGGTTGTCAATGATTCAGTCCTATTTTTTCAGACAGTCAAAATTTTCTAACAGACCACAGAAGTTCTTAGATTGACGACTAATGTCATGATGGTCCAATGCCTATTTATGTAGGACAAGAAAAATCTTAGAATCAGCAAATGTAATATGGAATTCCACCTCCATATATTCCTGACTCAGATTTTATCAATTTAAATTCATAATCAATCCAATATTAAAACTACTATGTGATGTGAAGTCATGAATAATAAGAGAAGACTTGAGCTGCTATCAGCAAGCTACATTATTAAGATCCAATAGCGAAGATATAAGTGGACCAACCAAAGGATATATCACTTGAAGAGCCAAATACTGATTGTTCTCATCCTAGTTAAGTAAGAAAACCATACTTAAAAGTTAAAATGACCATTCTCTGCCAGCCATTCAAGTGCCCTGTTGATATTTATCCAGAAGTGTCATCTAGAGATTGAAAAAATAAACAAAATAACCAGATTGCGCTAGGAAAACATCAAGTGCTCCAATATGGACCACAGCCAAAGAAAATCAAGTATTCAGAGGTAAACTCGTATCACAAACTGTCACAACCCAGCCCCACAAGATAAATGATTTATTAACTTGATTACCCCCTAAATCATGTGATCCACAATGTTTAAACTGAAGTTAATAGATGAACTGGTTCCCTCCACAAGTACCCCTTTCTTGGACCCTGGTCCACCGTGGCAGATACTAAATCAGATAGTACACCATTTGTCATGACCCAGCCCGATAGCATAACTGACTCATAGCCCGAAATACTTAAGCCCAATCAAATAATAAATACTCCCTATAAACCGACTCAACTGCCCTTTCACATCCAATCTGAGAGTAAACTAGGGCGTTATACAAGGAAAATGAAATAAAGTCTTATCAGGTTAGCTCGAAAGATGATTGTAAAATTGTTGATAGTAATCTTGATTATACACATTCACACTAAGTGTATGTATGATGGTATGAATATGATGCCATGTAAAACTAGATAAATGATGTTTAAAAAATCCTTTCAACTTTAAATTCATGCACTACCATCTATCTGAATTAATTTATGACTCAGTTTAGTAGGTCACGCAGTCTACCTGAATGATTCATGAGACTATCGAATGATGAACTCTTGCTTTCATAAGTTGTATATTGACTGTGATATGACTGACACTACACCTCAAGTTTCAAAACATAAAATAAAAGAAAATAGACAGAAGTGTGTGGCATCCATAACAAAGGCATGCCTGTGTCAAGTCAGTCTGTAAAGATGACTTAGACACATACTGTAACATGTTTGAAGCCACAACTAACCACATGTCCGAGCAACATGCAGAAAGTCAAAACCGAATAATTACACAGGCAAGGAGAAAGAAAAGAATCTTTTTTTATCTTTGATAGTCGATCATCCTCAAGATTTTCTTGACTAATCCTTAGATACGCGTCTTGCTGCCAAACCAATTTGTCCTAACAGCGAAAACCCTAGCTAGACCAAAAATCAAGGCTCGACAGAGCATATCCGATGGATAAACTCTAGAGTTCCTAACGATCGGGAGGGCGATCGATCAACGGAAGAACACGAGAGAACAAGCATCATAAAGAAACTAACCGACAACGAAAAAAAGAAAATCAAGATCCATCTCGGAAAAAAATAAAATAAAGAAACGTACATCAAGAACCCAATTTCCAATCTTCTTTTGGCTCTCGAGAAAAGAGGGAACCATTGGCCTCTAAATTAATAATTTGGACTACCAATTCAGGAAGGTCAGCCTTAACAAGCTAATTTTTTATGCTCTTAACTACAACATATCAAAATAGTCAGGTCAAAGTTGTGATTATTACTTGTAAGTGATGCATAAATAACATCAACAAAATAACAGCTGCAGATCGGTATACAGCTAGTGCTTCTTAGTACATGCTAGGATATAAAGATATAAAGCATGAAGTTGTACCACAATATTACTGGCAGCAAATAATTTTTATAAATACATCGCTTAAAGGAAAACAACAAATGATAAAATAACGAAGGTGTGGAACAGATCTTTCTGTCATTTGATGAGAAAAGCAATCCTGCTTCAAGTGAAAAAATTGAAAAGCTAAAAATAGCACAGCATTTTAACTATACAAGTACAATCTAGCAAAAGAACCACTTGTATTTCAAACATCCAAAAGGCAGTCCAGCATTGATTTACAACCTTTGCAAGAAGTGAACCCACCGAGCATTATCATGCCGATATCATACACTTTTCATAGTCTACATCAACTTCTCAGGCAGACAGGTCAAGGTAACTTTGCTCTAGGTATGTTTTGATATCAAGCACATATCCACAAAATCTAACCTGTTCTCAAACTTTTAATAAATTTTCCTTTCAGATCAACATGACATGATGATCCGTAATAAATCCTAAAGATCTTCTTACAAAAGAAATTCTCACCTTCTTTTATCATCTAGTAAGACAACCTCAAGTTAACAATGATATTTGGGAATTCTCTTTGTGCTTTACTTTGAAGTTTATGCCATAATTGTTCAGCCATTTGAGCTGCACATGAGCATACCACTTTATGCATCATCAGGTTATTTAAGGTACTCGTAATGTCTTGAACAGGATTTGATATTGGGTATCAATTGATCTCAAATCATTTCTGTATCCCTGTATCAAATTTCAAGCAACCAACTTTGCAGTCCTAAGGTGAATATGTAACAGATACACCTTCAGAAACACAACTGGCTCTCGTCAAATAGGAAAAGAAATTTGGATTGGTTTTCACCGATCCACAAAGTAGCTATTCAACAACCATTTAAGTTAAACCAAGAATTATGATAAGACATATTAGAGAAATCTTTGAAACCAGAAATTAACCTAGCTTTCCAATTCCGACTTCTCGAGCTCGAATCATTCAAGAAAAGAACAAAAGAGAAAGATCGCGGAGAGACGGGGCGATGGGCCGCCCAACCGGAAACCGGGACGAGAGGAACAGCAAGATCGAAGGAAAGTGGGGAGGAAATAAGGGGCGTACTTGAGAGGATCCGTGAGAGAGGAGGGGAAGAGATCGGCCGGGAGTGGAAGGACGAGGCGAGGACGGAGGGGGCGGGCGACACAGAGTGGGGATGCTTGAAGGGGCAAAATGATCGGCCTCGCACTCCCTCTTTCCGTCCCCTGCAATCACATGTCTCGCTTTTATCGGCACCTTTTCGCTTCGATTTATTTATTTATTTGTTTTCCCATCAACTCCATGTCCGAAGCAAATTAGGGGAAGGATGCGATGACCACAACGTTGCGCATACCGCCGTACCCGAGAAAGATATAGCCGTTGCGACGTGTTTACAGATAGGGTGCAGCTTAAGGAGGGATGGAAAAGAAAATTCCCTTTTTTTCATAACTTAATAATATAAAAGTTAAAATAATAAATACATTTATATATATATATATAAACAGTAAGATGATATGTACATACAACTATTATAGGTAGAATATATTATGCCTATGGTTGAAGTGCTGTTGATTGTGGTTAATATACATCCAAGAACTTATTAATCATTTCTAACTAAAGTATATAATGGATTAGAAATTATATAAGACATAATATTGAAGAACTCCTCTTTTTAATATTATAATGAGTTCTTAAAGAATTTTGAAATAAAATTGAGTTTCAGCTTCTTTTAGGTTTTGAAGAAATATGTCACATGTCACTGACTATGAAATAAATAAATATATAATATAATTTGTTAAAATGAGAAGGAGAAACATATGAGGAATTAATGTTAATGGGGGCATGAATTAGGCTGAATAACCTAATTGAGTATTTAAGAATTGTTAAAAAAATATAAATTAGGCTAGAATGTCAGAAATTAATCTTATTATTTGTCGATTACACATGAATTGGGTAACCAAGTCCAATACAAAAGATTTTAAGTAAGATTTGATTTAAATCACTTTTTTCCTAAATATTATAAATTGATACTTTATTCACTGAAGTTGCCTGATCTCAAACTCACAAGTAATGCTCCCAACTCAAATTTTCATCAAAAGGAACTCTCACTGGTTAGGATCCAAAGGTAGGACTATACATTGACCAGAGACTCTAGTACATGGAATCTTTAACTCAAGTAGAAATTGTTGCATGTAGTAGCTCAAATAAGAACTTGTAGCCATTAGGACGTCTCAACAGAGACTTTAGTACATGAAATGAAATCTTGACTCAAATAGGAATTGTTACATATAGTAGCCTGATTAGGTCAATGACTGGACTTGGAAAAGGTTGAGACAAGAAATATTAGAAGAGGACCTGAAACAATCCATTTGAGCATCTAACTGGTCAAGGCAAACGAAGAGCCAAATCACTAGATCAGTCTTTCCAGAAGACTGACACCAGACATGCACAACAACAAGAGGACAATCTGCATTATGATTTCATACGAAGTCTAACAGGTTGACGAAGGTACACATATCCAAACTACATAACATTAACTAGTAGCATCATGGATCATACTAAGAACCCAGCAAGGCAATAAAAACCTTCTCCCCTATTTGTTCTCCTAAATCTACTGAGGTGATTCCTTCCTCAACTTTAGGCCACAACGAACAATGTTGCAGAGTAATAATTGATCCCAAGCAATGGAAGATAAGGCCTTCATCCATGACTAGACATAAAAACAGAAGCTCCAGAGATGGAACTAAGAATAATCATCAGATCTCCATGCAGAGAAGGCTTGAAGAATACGCCCTTTCCATCCTTGCAGTAGCCATTGGCCATCTACATCTAATACAAAATCCTTATGGTAGGCCTTCAACTTTTCCTTGGCCATCTTTATGATATCAGAATTCAGCGGAAGTTGCTTGAACCCTGCTCTGATGTTCCTCACCTGCCACTGCTTGTAAGTCTCAGGCCTTTCCACCCTTTCTGATCCCTCACAAGCAATGACATTGAGAGCATCCCGTCCACTGATGTGCCTTTCTATCAATGGCCTTGATTCATCCTCCCGCGGCACATTTGTTTCGATCATGTCAAACAAGGCAGAGAAGTGGAATAAAGCTTCACGAAAACGTGTGACGAAAAAAGGAGAACTATATGATCCATTCACATCCCCAAATATGAAAACAGCCGGGTTCAGATTTCTTATAGTGTTCAGTACCATATTTCTTGGGCTGTACTCAACCACAGTCTCATCTATGAGACTCTTGAACTGGAACAAACTGTTTACGACAAGCACCTCATCTTTGTCAATGTTTAGATCCTCAGTCCGGATGGTATCCCACTTAGTTGCAATTGCATGAAACTCGAAAGGAATGCCAAATCTACGAGCATAATCAGCTAAGCGCTGCCCAGTTTCATCAATCCGCTCAGTTGGACGAAAACCTGGGCTCGGTTTGTCGATGCCAGTTATCCGGAGCCTTGGGGGACCACCTGGCTGACTAGCAAGACGCTGCATGAAACATGGCCATTGGAAGCCATAAAATATGCCAAAATCTATTATATGCAACCTTGGCGCTTTATTAGCCACATTCAAAATGGTCCTGTTGGAGTAAAGATAAGCAATCTTCTTGAAAGGGCATGCACGCATATAACACTTGTAACCTTTCAATATATCAGAAGTAGAAATTCGCTTAGCAACGATGGAATGGTAAATTTGACTCCCTGTGCCAGCTAGGCGTGCCTCAAGGCCATCAGCAAAGCAATGGGCCAACCTCTCATTTGCATCTCCAAAAGGGGATGAGTGCTGTCTGATCTGTTTCAACAGCTCTCCTGCGCTTCGACGATCACCTATCGCCACAGATTCAGCACAATGGACAAGAAGTGTCCTAAGATCAACCACGTCCTTCATAGATTGTTTCTTCCCTCGACTTTTTCCACCACCTGATCCTTTCGCATGACTGCTATGAGAACTTCTGCCGTCTTGATTCACTGATTCAGATTGCTGTTCATCATTCCCTGCTGTGCATTTCTCCCAACCACAAAGTAGGACATCATCTAAAATGTCAGGACGAAGAGGTTCCTCAGTGGAAAGGGCTGATTGTTTATTGCTTCTCCCTTCCTGCAAATCCAAGTCATCATCATGATGAGTCTTCCTACCCCTTGGCTCACGAATAGGGCTCTCGTGTTTCTCATCTGCATTGATCTCAGCCAATTTCCAATCTTCTTTTGGCTCTTGAGAAAAGAGGGAACCATTGGCCTCTAAATTAATCATCAAGTTTTCACTGCTGGGAAGAAATCTTCGTGCCTCCTCAAGTCCCTTCTGAAATTGCCAGGCAGGTGTGCTCTGAATGACAAGATCATTATCCGAAAGAGGATTAGAAAGAGACTCTACTAACACTCTGTTGACATTTCCTGCATTGTAATTTGCAGGGGAACATGAAGACTGCGAATAATAATCAACAGAAGCTGGATTAGTCTGCAGCTGACGATATTCGAGAGGATCATAAGGCCAGCTATCATTTGCGAGGATGCCATCACTACTGCTCCCATTGGAATTTACATGGAAGTTACTAATGCTACTACCATCAGGGCTCTCTGCACTAGGGCCAGAGTTCTGATCTGGCAAAGGGGGGAACGTCTCACCAAGGATCTCATAGAAGGGCTTCTCTGCAGCTAAAAGAGCCAAATCTTCATGAAACACATCGAATTTATCATCCATGTCCTCTTCCATAAGAATTTGACTAATAAAGCCGAGTACCATATCTGGAGAGAATTCAGGAGCTACCAGGGAATCCATCTCACTGCTATCGGTCATTTTTTATAGCTGAGCACACCAATTTCCTACAATCAAGCAACGATTTTACACTCTGTATAAAAATAAATACATACAAACATATTTCTAAAATAAACTTAAGCATGATTGCAGCCTAAAGTGTTCCTCGTTCACAAAGAAGAGCAAATATCCAAGAACAAGAAAAGAACAACGCAGATATATACCTATGTTAACACGGAGAAGGAGAAAACCACCATCAAATGGAACAAATAACCTCAGATCTCGCTACAATCATAGCATATACCTACTGTTACCTAAAGGGTTTTCATATATGATAAGATTCTAACACCTCAAAAAGACAATAGATCAAGGATAAACTCTTCTAATACATGAAGAATCTAAAATATTGGATCCTAAATACTAAGAAAAGAAAACCCAACAAGAAACTGATCAGCAAGAAATCTCGAACTGTGAGAATTGACCCAAAAAATCAAAGCACAAACGAGAACTGAGGGATGATGAGAGGAATTTTAGGAAAAAAATCAGATCTTGATTAACGAGACATGAAGTCAACAGAACGATTAAGTTACGAGCTTGAGATCCGTGGAGAAGTTAAAAAGGAATTAAGCGAGAAAGCGACAGAGACTTTACCTTATCGCCTAAGGAGCAGCTCCAGTTTGAGGATGGGCGGAGAGGAGCAGCCTGGTCTCAGCAGATCGCTAAGTCTATTTATATAGTGTATTCTAGTGTTGACGATGACGACGCAAAAAAAGGAATAGCGACACGAGGGAGAGAGACAGAGAAGTGTAGTGTATCCTATCTCTTTCATCCGGAAGCTTCAAGGAAGAAGGAGGCGTCGCCCCACGACCTCGGCGGTCCACCTGCCATCGCCGGATGCCCCACCGTTGTTGAACAAGGCTGCGCGCGGGTCGAGCTTGACCGGCGACTATTCTCTCGCTTGTTTCCCAAGCCATTAAACTCATGCCTTGGGTTGATTGATCCGACGGCTGCGGATGGGCCACGCGGCTTGATGGGTACGTCCTCGTCCCTTTGCTCGATTCCCCTTTCATATCTACAGTCATTTACTAGGATTTATAAATATACGAAAAGTATTTAAAATTTTCCAACAATTTGATATTGGAGTTTAGTTAAAAGTTTACATTCAATCAAAATAATTAACTATTTTAACAGCATATTTGTCAGCTGAATTAGAGGGCAATTGTCTATAATCACGTGCAAGTAGCTTTTGACTAAAATATGGTGATTGAAAGTAGGATCACTAGTCGAATAAATCAATGAGGTTTAATAATCTTAAAGCAAAAAAGTAGATGCATGAACCACTGAAGGCAGCGAGCCACGCATAAAACCTAAAACCTTCAATCATTCAACTGCATTTCCACCTACCAAAAGTAACAGTCCTGGGTAAAGAATCCCAGGAAGAACTTGATGAGGCTATCAGGAAATATTACTGCTAATCCACTGATATCTCAAGGATGAGATGTCTCGTAAATTCCAAAGAAGAGACGAAATGACATTAATTAAGAACCCACCAAATGACATTATTAACAGCTTTTTGAGACCACAGCAGACTGGGAATTCCACCGAGGCTGCAAGTGATAACACCTCGGTAAAGCAGCAAACCTGAAACTCATCTCTCCCCCACACCACGACCTGCACAAACCAAGCATGCTGCATCCAGTATCCGCCTTATGTCTCGCTGCGCTTCGCTCTTTTCGGGCTCACAGCATTTCCTGGGATCGCCTGACGATGCGGCTGACCTTCTTCTTGAACTCATCCCTACTCTCCCTCCATTCCTTCTGCAATGTAATCGATGCATTGTGTCAGATCGAGGTGCAACAGCATAAGTTACGAGGTTTCAAGTATTTCTGCCAGATCAAAACCTAGAAAGGAAATACCAAGTTCATCTAGGAAGGCATCAGCATTTAAATCTCAATGTAATACCATCACACATGTATGATGAATACAAACAACTGAAACTCTTCCCCAGTAAGTAGAAACAATCAACTTCTCATATAAGCTTAAGACTGAAATTGTAAAACCAAATTGCATTTGCAACTTAAAGACAAATAAAAGCAAAGCATAGAAGAATATTCAAACTAGCCTCAACTGAACATCTCAATTTTTGGAGTAACAAATTGAACATGTTTTACATCTAGAGTAAAGCTAACCCACCTGCTTCTAGATGAGAATAAATTGATAGAAAATCCATCTAAGAAGTACGGAACCTAAACCTTCTCATTCCAGCCAGCCAATCTGAACCAGGGCTCATATTGGCTACGAGATATATGATGATCTGGTCTGGCGTAATATTGGCTATGAGATATATGATCATCTGGTCTGGCGTAAGATGTTACCAGTAGCTTTGCCCAAATGGAATCTCACCGAACTAGGTGCAACTGGCCACTGTTTCTCCCATTTAATTCTTTTTAGAGTGATATTACCAGTTAAACTAAAAGTAAAAAATTCTCATAGATACCTCTCTCTCTCTCTCTCTCTCTCTCTCTTTCTCTCTTCCACTACTAAATCACAATTGATTCTCCTCATCCACATAATGCATCTACACCTAGAACTCCTTTGTGTATCAGTATGATTTTAAATTATTTTCTAATTTTTTTTCAATTGGAGCTATACTAAATTGCTTATAAACATAAACATTCCAAAACCTAGATTTTTCTAATAACTTCGCACATCAATCTCAATAGATTTTTCCTCATGAGATTAGCCTTTTATACTTATTATCTCATATTTACCCACCAACAAGACCATAAGGCATAGCTAGCCTTAAGGTCATAAAGTGGCAAATGACGATCAATCATCCACACAACTTCTAATGCCCCTATTTACTTCAATGGACAACATTTACGTCAATATTTCAATCCTGTTAAATGATACCAACATACCTAAGAACTTTCACTTCTATGAACTCTTTAACTGTAATCTATAATCTTCACTTGATATTGACAAAATTGCACTTCATATCTTGGGTTTAGGCCCACTTTCATCCAGTTACTACAAATTTCCACAGAAAAACCTGAAATTCAAAACAGCCACCATAAATTCACCTCAAAGGAACCTTCAGAACAACCCAAAAGCTAAAACATACTGGATTAGTATTTAAAGTTTTCTTGCATATGTTGGCTGTGTTTATGTCAATGAGATGCTAATGCATAGTTTATTGCTTTCAATAAATAGCCTGTGTTCTTAAGTTTATTGCTTTTATTTATTCTCTCTACATCTCATCTTTATTGCAACTTAGCTTGTTATTCCAATTGCAACTAGGTAGAGCACTTTAGTTGCATGGCATATCATGTCTTAAGCAAGCTATTTACAACATAAGGTTCTCTACATCAAAAGACAGTTATAAGAAACTCCAAGATGCCCACCTTATCTCTTACTTTCAACAAGGAAAGTCCAAAACTTGTGAAAATACCCATTACAAACTAACTCTGAATCATGTTGCAGGGCTCCGAATTAAACTTTAGTGGAAACAGCTAGTGCATTCACAAGGCATGTCAGGTAATACAATCAAGCTGTCTAACAAGTGGCATAAGGCCATACTCAGAAACTAAAATTACAAAGTATAGGCTAGTTCTGTTTGAGATGAAATTCTTTGAAATTTACAGCAACTTTTAAATACAGATACAGCTCACAACAAAGGGCATAAAGCATAGCAGCATAGCAAGTCATGGACATAGCACTAAAAAATATTTTAAATATCACTTACAGCAGCTTCAACATTTGCAGGAGATTCATCGTTGGGACTTGACAACATAGAAATAATACTCAGAACTATGCTCTCTACCTGCATGTTTGAACAACAAGATTTCCTAATTTCAATCACAAACAGGGCAGCAAACAAAACATATATATATTCTTCCAAAAAATTATTGCAGGTAAATGAATCACTAGACAAAATCTTGAAAGCAGGAAAAAAATGAAATCCACCCATCCCCAATCTATAAGAAAGATTAATTGCTTCAGCAACAGCAAATAACCTCCCAGAATTATCTTGTCTCCAGTAGCTTGTGTCAGGTTCATAGTGGCATGTCCACTGAAGTTCTTAAAGGGTTCTTGAAAGAACTAATGAGATCAAATTAACATGAGGCAGCTAACTCTACAAGTTATTTAATAAAAGTGGCTCAGATGAATTAGCTCAAAAACCAAAAACAAGAATAGGAGCGTGGTTTTGTTTTCCAGTTGATCCCAGCAATTTGGAACTTGTCCAAGTCAACAGAAACTCAAAGGTTTAGATGAAACTAATGAAACCACTAGGACACACAGTAGGATTCATAAAAATGATAGAACTGACCCTGATTCCGTCAGTTTATTTAAAAGATGTACCTATTCTCAATGAATGTTTTTTAAACAAATAATTGTACTCCAGAAGTTAGATCTGATGAAAAGAAGGGGCTATCAGCTGAAAATAAACAGCAGACTGCTGAAGAATTACAATACTTCTGTATTTATTTATTATTTCTTTCCTCAAAGTGTTCTTTAGTAAGTTAAAGGTCTTAGTCTATTTGAGAAATAGATTGATATCTACGCAGAAAAGCAATTACTGTTTAATAAATTCTTAACAAATTGAATATCTTTATGGCCTAGGGCCTACTTATCCCTTCTTCTCTACTATTTCTTTGTTCATCCCCTGACCTCTTTTTCTTGCCTTGACTCTTGGATTACAACAAAAATGACAATAAAGCAGTATATAGACAGTTGGATCATCACCATGGTTTTAGATTCACAAAATACTACCACACCCACCATACAGTATAGGTTCGATGGTGTATAATCAACTAAATAATTTTTATTTTTTATAAGTTGGTGTT